AGATAGATAGATAGATAGATAGATAGATAGATAGATAGATAGATAGACAGATAGATAAACAGATAGATGAGTGCTTTCTTTTTGAGATAGGGTCTCTCTCTATGCAGTCTTGGCTGGCTTGGAACTTGCTCTATAGACCAGGCTGGCCTGAGACTCACAGAGAACTGCCTGCTCTATCTCCTGAACACTGAAATCAAAGGTGTGCACCACGATGTCTGGCACCACTACAAAATTTGAGGAATTAAGTAAACATACAAAAAAATCCTCCTTTAGCATGCCTCAGACTAAAATTATTGCAGGGCATGCTGTACCACAGAAGCGGCAGGGGCTGCCATCTCATCCCAGTCTCTGGAATGTTGCCTGTCAGCCTCACAGGCCATAGACATGTGACATGAAATAACTATCTTAGTCTGCCGACATAGCAGTATCCTGGGATGACAGCCTGTTTACATCTGCGAGCAAAGATTTTTAGCTAAATCTCTATGTAACTATGTGATTCAAAGCTATAGACAACGTTCCAATTAGTAACAACTGAATGACAAACCAACACTCTTTGGCGAATACACCCATTAGAAATGGTCTGTAGTCTAGAACGAGCCAGAGGCTGGTCTAAGAGCACAAGTGATACAAAAGTTACCTATCCTACTATTTACCATTAATGAATTGTTTGCTGAATGTTAAGCTGTTTACAGTTTAGTCTGTTACTTTTGGAAAATGTAAAAGAGAATAAACTGAAACGTACCTTTATGAAGGTAAAACACTGAATAAGTGATTTCTTTCCAAGACTCAATCTTTGGGCTGTAACACACACACAGACTCCCTAGGAGGAAAAGAGGAGGCATTTAACAGCATTTAAATAATCTGCATCGTGAATTTTCTGAGCCATTATTCACCTACTTCTGTTCCTCTAGATGTCCTTCCTCATCTTCATAGATTAATGTCTAAATTTACAAAGTGGTATTGGCAAGTTGCTATGAGATTTCAAATCAGCATTTAGCATAAACAGTTATAGGCAGTGCAGTGTGGCAGGAAATGAATAGACACATGGGAAGATGAAGTAGTTTAGAAAAGGGCCCACCTTCATGAGGCTCCAGTGAGTGCGTCCCCTGTCATCATACCTGACTGTCCCCTCCCAGTCATCTCTCACAGCTCTGGACCCCAGCTATCCAAACTGTGTTCTCTTTAAGGAAGGCATCCAGTGGTTTTTAAGCACACTGAAATGTGAACTATGGACCTTTCCTATGAGCAATGAGAGTAAATACAGCATGTGAGCCCGTGCTCATCCATGCTGGGTCCCTGACAGCTTTGGCCCATGTCAAAGGTGCTCACCTAGCATGGCCTTTCCCACCTTCACCAGCCTCCCTTTCTTTTTCAATATGTAAAACTCTATGTCACCTCTAGCCGTCGTGGCTAATGCCAGTTACCTGCAAATGAAGACATAGCTCTTAAACTGATCCAGGTTGGCTATCCCTCATCAAAAACGGCTGAAGCACAAACATTTCACGTCTTAGATTCTTTCAGATTCTGAAATAAGCCTTCTTGGCTGAGCATCCCTGGTCCTAGTTTTGCTTTGCTTTGTTAGTTTTGCAGTGCAGCCCTGGCTGGTCTGGACTTCACTCTGCACAACAGGTTGGCTTTGCCACAGTCTCTGTCCCTCTGTCTCCCAAGCTCTTGGTTTATAAAGCACATTGCCTTTGCTGTCAGTTCTGCAAGCCTGTTTCCTCATCTGTGCATTTAAAAATATAGAAACTACTTTATAAAATTCTTATAAGAGAATAATTCTTATATGAGAATAATCTATATAAATCTTTGACAAAAATACTCCTATCTGGCTCTAGATGTTAGTGGCTATTATTATCATTCCAGAATAATTTGGCTTCTATGTATAAGTTGAAAGAAGTCACAGTTTGAAGAAACAAAATACGCTCTTAATGTAATATCCAGAGACCTTTTAGTAAATATTCATGAATGATGAAGATAACAGCTCTACACTGGCTGCCTTTGGGAACCATTTAGACAATGAAAACTATTACAGACAACTTATCCACAGGAAATTATCTCATTGGAACAATTATTAAAAGGACTCACAAAATGCTCTAACACTGGCCTAATTCTGAGAACTTGCCATCATGTGAGCAGGAAAGAGGGGTTCTGTGCTCCCTTCACTGCCCGCCCAGAAAGGAAGGCAGCTAATTTAGAGCTTCTATAGTAATCTAACCACAGCACCTAAACCATAGTCACGGCTGACCATCAGCTACAAAGGCAAAGAAAATCCTTTCTTCTCAGTGATAAGGTCTGATTTATTTACCTTCCTAGAAATGTCTGTATAAAATGATAATCTTAAGTGACCCTGAAGTGAATCCTAAGGGTCCTGACACTAGCACCAGAACTTTGTCCTCCATCAGCTCTCAGGAGCATGCCCATCTTTGGATTTTAGTCTTTCATTCCATGGACAGATGGCACCCAGTGTCACTTCCTAGAGCAGGGAACTCCAGGACAAAGAAGCTCTTGAGCGTGTGAAAGACAGTGCTGGGGAGCTGGCAGCTGCACTGCCCTACGCGTGAGGAACGGCTGTGAAGCACCCTCTCGTCACCATCACTAACAGGGAGGGAGAAGTAAACGGGTGTGCTGGGCCTCCCTCTATCTGCCTTCCTTTCTCAAGCCCAAATGTCCTGGTTTCCCGGTCCAGACCCACACTATCCCAGAGGAGCTATGTTTGGCCTAGGCAAGTTTGGACCTTTCTCTGATCTTACTTTGCTGGAGTAGATCTCAGTGGAGGAAAGGTCATGATGGGGAAACCAGAAAGGAAAGTTTGGTCCAGAAATCTCCCCCAAAACAGAAAAACCATAGCTCCATTCTGCCCAAACAGCGAACATCAGGGTGGCCCAGCCAAACGAAAGTGTCTGCGACCCCAGACCACTCCAAAATGGAGTCCCTGCAGCCCACCACCATGCACACACAGTTTTCCATTACTGTCCCACCCACTGCTCTTTTTGTAGTATGCAAAGCCTGTTTTCTGTTTACTCTGGTCTATAGGGAGGATTCTTCCAGCAACCTGCCTAGCTACACCACACTCTTGTTTATTTTAACCCTAAGAAATCATATTTAAATCTAGTTGGAAAAAGATGAGAGCTGGCAACTTACTACCTAAAAACAACAATAACAACAACAAAATGCTTCTCCAGTTTGGTTCGGTTTTGTTTTTATCTTAATCCTGGGAGTTCATTTGAAAGAGATTAGTTTTTCTACTGCAAAGCTGACTATGAAGAACAAGGCCCATTTTCTACCCTCTCAGACATTGCCAAGAAAGGGAAAGAAGAGACGCTTCCACATCTCCTACCAGATGAACCCAATGTGTTATTAAATAAATGGTAGTAGCCCTTTTATACGTTATGGTTGCTATGGTTCCTAATGACTTCCTCTGAACAAACAAATTTTAAAAAGGGAAACCCACAGAGAATTAAAGCACCAAATGGCTGCTTGTATCCGACAGTGGAAGAGGCAAGGCAGAGCCTATCCAGTTCATCCCTGGGCGCCCCGGATCTCATTTCATCCCAGCTTCAAAAACAAATTCACTCTGTCAATTAGTGCTGTCTGCTGGGCCATGTCCCATTTTCCTTCCCCACTAAATATGTTCTGTAAGCATTTAAACAACTGGAGTTAAAACAAAAGTTCCCTAAATCCCATTCTGCTTGCTGCTGCTTCTCTCACTTTCCTCTACCTCCTTGTGATGCTCAGCTCAAGCAGAACTGGGCTGTCCCTCCAGTCACCCAGCACAGGCGGCTCAGGGGGCCAGCCCCAGGAACTCCGCCCTCACTGCACTGTTGGCCCTTCTCCTGGGGGACACCTCACCCTGTCTTTGGTTCCTGTACTATCATACTTGATCAGGCCTCCTCTCTCACAAGATGTCCTTTTCTCCTCTTCTTTCTTTTTTCTTCTTCTCCCTTTGTCCTTTTCAATTAGATGCTCCTCCTAACATTTAAGCTGCCAGGTGTTATTCCTAAGCACCCTCCCTTCTCACCCGGTAATCCTCCACATTCTGACGACTCCCATGTTTATTCACAATTACCCCGACCCTTCTTCTCTGTTCCAGGCCTTTTAGTTAACATGGTCATAAGAAAGCTCATGGTCTTCCTACATGAGACCCACCAAAGCAAATGCCACCACTGAAGCCAGGAACCGAGGCCCTTTCTTCTCCACCTAGGCGTAGGGAGGCTCCTCTGCTTCATCTCCAGAATGCACCTCACACCCATCTACTCCTCTATACTCTCTTGCCCATTGTAGTTCAAGTCCCTGCCTCAAGTGTGACTGATCTCATCTGAACTTGATCTTCCCTTGCCTCCTCCAACCTCTCTTCATCCACCAGCCACAGTGACTGCATTTTACTATAACCATCACCACATATTAAGGACACACGGTAGCAGGCCTCGCTGTGACTTTTTTCTAAAGAGGCACATAGTATAGTTTGCTCACATGTACCATCCCAAACACCCTCTCCTATGCTTCTCTATTCCCTTTACCTTTCCCTAGGAGTCCTTCTGCTAATTTCAGGCCATCTTTATTTTCCTTGGTTCTAGCCTCCACACATAAGAGAAAGCCTCACATATTTTTTTTTATATCTAGCTTATTTCACTTAGCATAATGACCTCAGTCCCATCAATTTCTACTTTGACTGAACAAAAAGCCATTATACATATACAGCACATTGAACCAGTCCTAATCTGTTGACAAACGCGGAGGCTGATTGCAAAGCTTCGCTACTGTGAATACCTCTTAAGAACGCATATCTAACTGTGTCACTGCCTACTGAAAACACTTTAGTGAATAAATGTCAACGGATCCTAAAACTATTGGGTGAAAGGTTGTCAAAAATTGGTCATGCGGTTCCAAATTAATATTCAGAACTTAACTCATTCCAAGGTTAAAATACACCTTTGTGTGGCATGAACACAGCGGTTACTACTTAACCAAATGACAAAATGTAGTTTCTATATAAACAGTTCCGAGACATCCAGACATTACATGCCTGCTCTGATGCAAATGAAGTTCATAGCATCACTATGAAGCACTCTCACAAAAAAATCTTAACCTGTCTAACTATGCCACTGGGCCTAGCTTCTGATTTCTAGGAAACACAGAGAATAGTGGGGAAATTTTCAGACTTCCACCTGGAAACAAGGAGTTAGATCCAGAATGTGGGACACTTTTTAAGGCAAAATAGCTCCTCAATATGTCCAATTTGTAAAAAAAAAAAAAAAAAAAAAAAAAAAAAAAAAAAAAAAAAAAAAAAAAGAGCTGAGACAGAGGTATAAAGGAAATTGTTTGTTAAAACACACCACAGGTAAAATTTGCAGATTGATGTAACTTTTGTTCTTAAAGATAATATAAGGGGGATTATTTGAAAGAATATCTAATGAGATCCATACTAAATGATTTAGTAGTCAGTGTTGTGGTGTTTAAAATTTACCTCTTGTTTTTGTATGTTTGTTTGGAGACAGGGTTGAGCCCAGGCTTAAACGGTTTACTTCTATATGGAAGTGATAGAGAAAATACTGAAAATTATATGGATTAAGCAAAAGACACATAGGTATTCATTATATTTTTCATTATTTCATATGCTTGAGCATTATGAAAATAATTGTGATAAGAAAAAAATCATCTATAACTTTTCATAAATCTTAGAATAAAATCTAAACGCTTGCGTGGTCTGCAAGACCCTACTTACTGCCCTGCCTACATCTTCACCCCCCTCTCCCCGACTCCACCCCACCCACCCCCACTCACTGTACACTCGTGCACAGTGGAAAGTGTTCATAAACAGTTTCCAACTGAACTAGCACATGCTTTGACTTCCCTGGGAATGGTTGACTGAGGGAGACCTGGGGTTGATTGATAGGATAAACAGTGAGGTATGTTATGAAGGAATGTTAGGGGGGAAAATGTACTTCTCAGGACTGATGGAGAATGGAATGGAATGACTGGGAGACAGGGAGAAACAGAGATGGACCTATAAGCTATAACATGTTGGAAAATTCTCCTATCTTCTATTAAATACCCACCATACGCTCTCTCAGATTTCTGTAATTGTTATAATATTTATCGTGATTCTATTTGCATATTGTGTACGCACTTATGAAAGATCTAAAATCTTCAACCAGAACCTCTAGTAAAGTTTAGGTCAGGTTTGCTCATCACTATTGCCAAAACTTAGTATAAGGGTCGGAGAGACAGCTCAGCAGTTAAGAGTGCTGGAGAACTGTTAACTGCTCTTGCAGAGGACTGAAGTTTAGTTCTCGGCATCCTCACTGGATGCTATACAACCTCCCGGAACTCCAGCTCCAAGGGATCCAACGCCCTCTTCTGGCCTCCACAAGCACCTGCGTGCACATACCCACAGACAGACAGACACACACACACACACACACACACACACACACACACACACACACTCAATTTAAAATAAAATATTTGTAAAATCTTATCACACAGTAATATTCAATAAATGTTGGATTAATGTGTGACTAGCACACATTTTTACTTTGAATGACTATGCATATTTGTAAGGAGAATATGACTTCAAATGTTACTCAACTCAAGAAGTGACTATCTGCTCAGGTTAAGATATTACAAATGGCTGCTAAGCTTTGTTACGCAGGTATTTATTGAACCTGATGATCTGCTTTCTCACATTTATTACATAGAATCACACTTGTCATCTTTCATTTTTAAATATCCTCCCCCCGCCATGTTCTCTATATAAACAGGTATATATCAAGCTCTGACTTCTGGACAGCAGCCCATGACGCAACATTTAAATCCAAGTCCACACGTTTGGACCACAAACGTAGGCCAGGGAGACAGCCCCACAGGTAAAAGCACTTGCCACCAGTCCTGATGACATGAACTTGATCTTGCAGCCCCAGTGGTGAAAGAATCCCCTCCCAGAGCTTGTCCTCCGACCTCCATAGGTAAGCATGCATGCAATGGCATATGTGTGCCCACGGAAAACATACACCACGTGCAAGAAAAAAAAAATCTAAGAAATAAACCAATAATTAGAATCCAGCACATCAGTAAGGCTGGCAGAGAAAGCACTTCCATCGCTGTGGGAAAATGTGCATTGAGTAAATATGAATCCACCCAATACCAGTAAAATCTATTAGAACAACAACCTGCTGGTGGTGGCTTCTTTCACAAATGTAAAATATGTACAAAGCTAAAGTGGAAGGGCACAAGTCTCACTCACCTTACGCAATTCTGGTTTAGCACTAAGTTCCCTGCTCAGTGACAGAAAGAGGTTACAATTACAGTGGAGAAGATAATTCGGCAAATGGATGTATATACAGCACCCACTTGATGGTTTCTGTAGTAATGTGGCTGTTATGTTTCATTTTCCGGCCTCACACAGTTGAACAACAACTGCATTTTTTTTTATAAAACTCAGGCTAATAAAAACTGATAAGGACGATCCTGCTTCTACCTGTATGGTTGGTGAAAATGCACAGAGAAGGCTGACTGCGAAACTTCTCTTGGTCTTGACGATAATCATATCCAAAGTTGACCAGCCTAAGATTATGAAGGGAAAGAAATAGTTGAATGCATTTAAAAACATACTCCCCCCGCCATACATGCTATAAGCACTACAACACACCCACAGAGGCAGAGAAATGCCTCATATATTTCAGCAATTTTTGCTAAATAATGTAAAGCAGTGATTAACATATAAATAAGGGATGTGGGCCTGGCAATCGACAGAGACATATTACTTACAACATATGTTGTCATAATTTTTGTGATTTATAATAAATATTATCAAAAATCTAATACTACATTTCAAAATATGTGCAATTAAGTGAGCATATATGTTTAAATAAAGCTAGTGAAATAGTGAGCAGTTTAGGACTGCCATTATTCTAATTTTGGAAGCCTGTTTTTTTCTTCTAGACTTTGATGTCCTATATTTTTTGTTTGTTTGTTTTTTATTTAGATTGATTTATTTATTTACTTTTGGTTTTTGAGACAGAAATTCTCTGTGTAGCCATGGCTGTCCTGGAACTCACTCTGTAGACCTGGTTGGCCTCAAACTCACAGAGATCTGCCTGCCTCTGCCTCCCAAATGCTGGGATTAAAGGCAAGCGCCACCACCACCCGCTGGTTTTTTTTTTAATGCTGTAGCTTTATATTATACATTAAATACTCTGTAAAAAAATGCCTTTTATGTAAAGAGAAAAACAGAAAAAATAAAAAAAATAAAACAAGAGACCGGGCCGAGTTACAAACAGCTTGACCTGTGACCTCTTTTTGGCAATAAGAAAGCATTTTGATGTTTGATCTAACTGTGTTCACGCTGACTCATAGAACCTCTTTGTTTAATCACAGAGAGACAGGCACTTCCACCCTTCAAAATAAATGCAGGTGCCCTACAGAAATACATGGCTAAGAAAATCAACACAGCTGACTTTATACATGTACTCCTGTATCCGTGCTTGACAAATCAGTTTATATTCTGTAAAGAACAGGAATATTAAAAATTGATCCAAAAGGGGCAAGGCGCAGCTCAGCAATCAAGAGAACCGGCTGCTCTTCTGGAGGACCCGGGTTCAATACCCAGCATCCACATGGCAGCTCACAACCGTCTGTAACTCCAGTTCCGGGGAACCCGATACCTTCTTTTGGACTCTGCAAACACTGTGCATGCATGATGCACAGACATAATACGCAGGCTAAACATCCATGCACATAAAATAAAAATAAATAAATCTTAAAATAGATGCACAAAATATAATATTGCCCCAATCTATCTACCACAATTAAGAAACGATGTCATCATTTTGCTACCCTATAAATGTCTATGAAATTTAACATTCTGTGAATAACTTACTTAAATCCTAAGTCACTTAATGATATGTCCAAGGGCATTTCAAACTGTGAAAGAAAAAAAACAAACAAACAGAGATCTACATTAAAAATGACATTACAGGTCTTCTGCAGGGAAGAGCACGTCAGTTGGCTGTCCAGTAACGAACGGTCAGCCTTGAAAAGATGCAAATGAGTAGCATTACACAGACTGAATAGGAATATATATATATATATATATATATACATATTCATATTTGCAGACAAAAAAAAATTAATGAAAGAAAAGCCCATGAATTTGAAGGAAAACAAGGAGGGGAAGGTTTAGAGGGATAATAGCAAAGGGAGAAATTTTGTAACTATATTATAATCTCAAAAAAACAAGTTTAAAAATGGCATTAGATGATAACAGTTGTGAATGCAGAGCAAACCACTAGTGCTAGCCTAGCCTAGTAGTAAAGAGTCCATTTAACTATCGTCTCCAGAGGCTAAACCCAAACCCCACAGTGCAGGAAGTCCACTGGAGTTTACAGACACATTCAGTATATGCTTCTTTCCTACAGGAATAACTCTGCCTTAAACTTGAATATCACAAACAGACTGTATGCTATAGTTGGACAATTGACAGCCACAACCTTTCCCAAGACACAGATGGTCATGTAAGGAAGGAAGCCTGGGATGTCTTTCGCAGTGGGTGAGCTAAAAATGGGGCAGGAAACGATAAGAAAGTCTTGTAATAGTGTGTAACCAATATGTGCTTGACACTAATATTGGTCCCTGGAAAGGAAATACTGTCCATTCCAGATAAAGACATAAGCAGCATCTTTCCATAGACAAACCAACCCCCAACAGTTTTTCCAAGGGTGGAGCTAGGTGCTTCTAAACTATACACCCTGACTTCCTTCCTCATCCTCAGACCCATTCTATTCTTGATGCCTTTTGGGTTAAATAACTTCAACCACTTAGGGCAATTTACTCTAGATCACACCTATTACCTTCCTCTAATCCCCTCTTGGGTTGTTACTTTAAAAACACTCTCTCCTGAGCATGATCTCTATTCACATATATCGACTGTGCATTTGTTAGAGAGCTAATGCCTTGAGACAGCACAGACTAAGTTATTTGATCGTGCAAGTAACTGACACAATATCAAAATGTCAAAAATTTTTGCTTAATGATATCAACACTAGTAAAATTTCCTGGGACTGGTCATTCTCTGTACTTACCATTAAGTCAAAGCTTTCATCTGCCCAAAACTGGATGCACTTCAAGATGCTCTCTGATTTCTAGAGAAGAAAAATGTGTGACAGGTTATCTCCCTCTCCCCCCCCCCCAAAAAAAAAAAGCTGAAGAGAAAAAAAAAACAATAATGAAAACCTGTTCGTTATCTTTCATAAGCCTTCATTGGCTGTTCCCATTAAGGAATATGGTTATTAAGAAGCTATGGCAGGAGCTAAGGAGACACCTCAGTAGGTAAGAGCACTGGCTGTTCTTCCAGAGGACCTGCGCTATCCTCCTGGCAAACACATGGCTCACAAACATCTGTAACTCCAGTCCCAGGGGATCCAACACCCTCTCCTAGCCTCCACAAGCACTGTACATACACAGTGCACAGACACACATTCAGGCGAAACATCCATATGCATAAAATAAAAGTAAAGAAATATTGACCTTTTTTTTTTCAAGGCACAGCAATGATATCAAAATTATATTGTTTCTATAGAAATAGGTATCCACCGACTAGTTTTACCTTTAGTTCAATGTAGTATAATCTCTGCTCCGACATATCCCACTGAGCCCAAACAAAATCTTCAACTATTCTGTCTCTTGGGAGATGGCTAGAATTTCTAATCACCTAAGGACAAAGTGATTGTATAAGCAAGTATATTAAAAATGTATCTTAAGTCATTATTTTTACATCTTATCACCATGATACATGTAAATACTCCTACTTTAACAATAGCACCTCCCACACATGCAAATAATACAGTTTTTCCATAACATTTTCAAGACGTCGTCGCCTCTTTCCTAATGCCCTGTTCTCTGTTCTTCTTAGCTTAACGGGAGGACTGGCAGGGACCACACCTTCCACAAACAATGTCCGTATTAGGAGAACATGTGTAAGTTCCTGCTGTAATCATACCCTTCGGTCAGACAAAAGCCTTTAACCTCCGAATACAAAGGCTTGCAATGCAGAGGAAGCTCAGGCCTGAAATGGAAAGCATTGTAACAGCCTGACTGGGCTCCCCACCGGCTTGGCTTTGGTCACGGTCTTTCCTTTATGTGTTCTACAAGAGTGATGGCATTGCCCATCCATCATCAATACTTGACTCTCGTCCTTCAAGATCTGACTCAGATTTTGCCTTTTTGACGAAGCCTCACCTCAGAATTCCCACCCAAAAGCAAGTTACTTGGCTCTGTTCCCATGGGGCTATTGCATGACTCTGTTAGTTACATCTTGTTAGCACTATAACCTTCAAGGTGAGCCTGGGTTCTTCTAAGGAGCCTCTGCCGACTCTTGTCCTCAGAGGTTCCAGAATTTAATAGTACTCAGGGACTTCTTCCAGAAATGAAGGAAGGGGACAAAGGAAGGAAGTGTATTAAGAATATTTTAAATGTAAAATGTGTTTAAACTCAAAGAACAATAGAAATTTAAAATCAAAGAATTAGGGCCTGGGGATATAGCTCAATTAGTAGAGTATGTGCTTACATGCAGGAAGCCCTTATCTTCAATTCCCTGTGAGCCGGGTGCTGAGGTGCATGACTGTGTTCCCAGCACTTGGGAGGATCCAAAGTTTAAGGTCATTCTTGACTACATGGTGAACCAAAGGGAACTTTGAGACCCAGAGAGGTTAGAATAGGCTGTGAAGTTACTTCAGCAAAACCTAGAATCTTAACACCTGGCACTTTGCTGGTGTTTTGTTTTTCTGTTTTCATGTTAGCATGAACACAGATACACATACTAACACATCAGCATACACATGCATGAACACACACAAAATGCCCACGTAGATACACATGCACTCACAAGGAATTTACTTTTCCAAGCTGGGCACAGTGGTTCACATCTGTACTACCAGCATGCAAGATGCTGAAGCAGAGGGGTCACAGGTTCCAAGCTAGACTGAGATGCAAAATGAGACCCTCCCCCCAAAAAAGTGTACTTTCTAAGGGCAATGGGTATGGCTCAAATGGCAGAGTATGCACTTAACATGTGAGATTCCAGGTCCCAGTCATTCTCAAGATGCCTGCCAAGCAAACACCAAACCATAAAACAAAAACCCATGACCCTGAGCTGGACCAGGAAAGGGGCCTCAAGATGGACCAGACTCGTGCCTGAACCCTCTCTGACCTGAAAGGACCGTCTTCTCCAGTGCTAGCTGGAACTTGAGCTAAGTACAATACACAGGCTCTGTTTCTTGCTCTCCGGGGTCCGTCACCATTAGGCCGGGGGGGGGGGGTGGTAAGATCCCACTCACCTGTCTGCATCCTCTAAGCCCACCCCGTGTCTATGTATCTACCTTCTGGGGCTTGGGGACAGGCTTGGGAATGTTTTTAGCCCAAGCCACATGACCACGAAATGAGTATCAGATTGTGACAACGTTGTGTCCCTCTGGAGTGACCTCACTTACATGGATCTTGCTTGTTTTCTCTGTTTGAAGGTAGAGCTGCAATACCACCTGTTATTTAAGGATGTCGTGATGAACAGGCAGAATTACGTGCCCTTATAGGAAGCTACTACTTCCAGAACGTGGGCAGAAGCGGTGCCCAGGAAGGGTACCAGGGGATGGAAAACACCAAAGCTGGACCACCTCGCTCAGCAGGATCCTGTCTGGGCAGCTGGCGGGAGCTCCCAGCACCCACTCTCCCCACAGCATCATCTGGCTCCCGAACACTCTTCCAAGTCACTGCTCTGCTCACTCCCATCTCAACATGTGTGCCTAACACTCTCCTCCAAGTTCTCGGGATCTGAACACTACCCTCCACCGGGGGTCACCAGCAGCCACAGCCCCACTCACATAGATAGCCCTGTTCACTTCCCAGCCGGCTCTTCTGATCTGAGGCTCTCAACAGTAGCTATATGATTAGTAAAAGTCACTTCCCGTTTCAGTTTTGTTCATCTAATTTAAAGTCTTTAAAAACATCAGCATTCTCAGAGAAAGATTATTCCGAAGGCTGGCAGGTAAAGGTACCTCGCACCAAGGCTTACAACCCGAGCCTAATCCCTGGGGTAGAAGTTCTCTCTACTCATTCCATGGCACTCACACACACACACACACACACACACACACACACACACACACATGTACGCACCACACCGCAAACCACAATAAATAAATCAGTGCAAAAAAACTAAAGGTTCTCTTATATAGGCTAAACATTAAATAAAATTTTAATATCTATATTATATTTAGAGCTCATATAAAATTGTCAAGAAGGAAACCAAGCAGAAAAACAGACAAGAATATAGTCAATAAATTTTCCAAAGAGTAGATTTAAATAGCCAGGAAACAGAGAAGGTGCCCAAACTCAATCGACAGTAAAGAAATACAGGCTAGGATAACAATAAGTTATCAGCTTACACCCATAAAATTGGACAATGTTAAAGGTAAATTCAACTGATACTCTAATACTCTGCTTGTAAAACCAGTTTTTTGGAAAGCAAGTAGCAAACTCTCCTAAAACTTATTAAATGCATATTCCGTCAACTTAGCCATCCAAATCTGAGGATTTACACCAAAGAAGTGAAGGTACCAACGTGTAAAGGTGGAAGCACAAAAGGTAAGTCCAAGGTGATTTGTACTACAAAAACAAAAAGCTGGCAACTGAATGAATGTCCTCCCACAGTAGAGGGACTGAGGCATCACAGACACTGGGCCAGGAACTACCACGCCCCTTCCTCAGAAAACCAACTGAAGCTATTCTAGCTGACTTCTAGATAACTACACACATGCTTTTCAGAAGCGATGATGAATGTGTATTAAACAGTGAATAAACACGGAGAAAAATGTGAAAGGAAAGTGACGGAACATAGAAGCCGTGAGCCTATTTGCTATGTGCATACACACAAAACTTAGAGAAATACAATTAATAGGTCATTTGTCTAGTTTCTAGTCTACATATTCTTGATGCAGTAAGTAAAATTGCAACCACAAAGGCAGAGATCAAATGTACATATTGTGATTCTATTTGGTAAGAACAACTGATTTTCCCCATATGTGTATCTAACATTGGACAGTTTTGCACAAGCAAGCAAAACTGTAGAGAGACTCCCTCCTACATTCAGAGCCCGCTGGGTGTGTGGTATGGAGGAGGGGTCACTGATTCCTCCACGTGTCTTTGTTTTGCTTCAGATGTCATAACAGTAAGGCTATTATTCAAGAGGCACAGAAGAAAACGTTTCGTGTCAATATAGTTCATCCATCTTCTAAAGATGAGAAGCGAGTTCTGAAGCAAAAAGTGTGTCAAATCTTTACCTACTCTGTTTCCATCTTCTCTGGTCATCTGGATATGAAAACGCTCAATATCTTTAAAAAAAATAAACCAAAAAAATTTTAACATTCAGGAAAAACATTAGTCCTGGTTTTCTAAAAGCTGTGAATAAATTTTTACAAAGCAACTGCCTAGAAAAGTACCTATCATACACAGGAATCTCATCAAACACTTCCAAACCCACCATTCGCCCCCTGCTTTTTACTTTTTTCTTCCTTTTCTCCGGAAAAGTATAATATATGAGGCACCTGACCCTCTGTTGCCTTGTATCCCTCCACAAGTGTATCGTCAGTGTTAGCTAAGATTAACAAGAGCCTCATTAGTAGGGTTTACCTCTAATTTCTCAACACATACATGCATTAATGCAGGTAGAAACTCATACATTTATATTTATATTTATATTTATATTTATATATGATGCAGTAAGTAAAACAGAACCACAAAGGCAGAGATTAAGTGTACATATTATGATTCTATTTGGTAAAAACAATATATACATGTATGTATGTGTATGGCATTTTTAGGGGGAACACCACATGAGCAAAAACTAACACTTTAATTCAGCTTGTAGTAACTAACAATTTAGGTTTAGTCAAACTTATATTCTGCTGGGTCCAATTACAAGTAAAATTGTGGCACCAAAAATTGAGCCAAAACCTAGGGACCAAACACAAATATAATGCAACCCATCCTTAAAACCATTAGTCAACCCCCAGTTTTGTCACATAACATGGAAGGCTGCTTGTGAGTAAGTGCTAATGGATTTTGTCTGTACCCCTTCCCACATCTGAGAAAGGCCATAACCTCTGTGTCACTTGTACTGGAATTCGGTCATGCTACTGTGGGCCTTTAGATTGGCCCTGGGATTCTTCTAGTATTTGGTTCACAGTCAGCCACTCTGACAGACATCTTAAATGAAACCAAATAAACAAAGACAGAAGTATTATAATTGTTCTATGAGTTGACAAATTGAGCATCCATATATACCTATTTCTTTCCCAAGACAAGGAAACTGAGCAGAGATTGAAGGGAAAGCTCTCACAGGAATTCTGGGTGTCAAGCGGACATGACAAGGCAAGCAAAGCCTTGGCCAGCAGATTCAGTCAGGCTCCGCACTTTTCTAGGAGGCACACACCCTGCACATTACCTAAAGATGCACTTACACTTCTCTTCTGAAATCAGTAGCAGGTGGTTCTGAAGACGGTGACTCTCAGCGTGTGGGTAGAGGAACTGTAGAAAGGGAATTATAAAAGCCATAAGCAACTGTTTTGCTTGTTCTCATACTTCGGTAGCTGCGTCTTATCATGCTTACTACTACATCCGACGCAAGGAACTGAGAACCACAAAATATTTCAGGGGAATCACATGTATGGCATGTCAAGGAGGAAGCTTTCAGGATCTCAGTTCTCTAAGGCGAGGTTGGTACCGGGTACAACATTATCACCATTCTTTTGAGCGGAAGACAAGGAGGGAAGCTGCTTCCAGGGATGGTGTTTCCTGCTTGGAGTATTTGACTCTGAAGCCAATCAGAAACAACGCAAACAACATTTATACATTTATATATATTATTTCACACAGAGAAAACGTTTGGCCAGTATGTTTATTACGAAACTAACCCTAGTATATAATGGAGAACCAAGTAACAATACTCCCTGCTGCAATTTCCAGACTCCCGCTTCTTAGAGACAAAGAACAAAGTGACCAGGGACTTTCCAAGAAAGAACAGGCAAGTGGCTAAAGGTTTACAAGGCTCAAAGTTAGGCTAGCTGCCTCTGGGAAGAGAAAGCTCAACACAGCCGCCCCCAGTATGTTCTTTACTGTGTGTGTGTGTGTCTGCCCACAAGACCAGTGTGACTCCATCAGCTGGGATAATGAAGCAAAGCTGGCATGAGATGGTGCCAATGCCTCACAGCTTTCATCATCAAAAATAGTGACAGACAGTAAGACAGTAAGACAGACAGTAAGCCTTTTCACTTTATGGCATGAAAGGCAATTGGTCAGAAAGAGTTACCAGTGAATTTTGTTCCCTGGCACCCAAAAAACTTTTAAAACACTATAAAAGGACATAACCATTTATGGCTCAATTAGCAGACAGTGACCTCTATTATTGTTGTCTTTACTTTGCTTAATAGACCAGAAGAACAGATCAATGTCTTCAAGTAGTCATGGTTAGAACTCCCTTCTAGCATTGAAAAGCAAACCATAAACTCTACGGCATTCTTCTTAGCAGTGCAATAAATTAAAATTACATAATAGATAGCAATATAGAATTTGGCTACAAAGATAATGCAGAGCTAAAGTATTAATGACTCATGAGGGTGTGCACAGATGAGATGCCCTGCACACTGGGGCTGTGGAAGGTCTGGGGTGACTAGCGCCACTTAGGTAATAATAGAGCTCAGTGCTTCAAAATAAGGAGCTATCCCTTAAGATAGCATATTCAGGTGGAATGCATCATTGTCTCCTCCCTTAAGAGTTAATCCAGTTGGATAGGTCCATGACCTGGCCACGGGACTGCCTTGAAGGGCAGGCTCACTTTGAGCCATGCTAAAGAGATGGGTGGAATAATCATCCCTTTAATGAGATAGTGTACTTTACTTTCCCAGAATTTCTGGCCCCAAGCACAGTCTCTTACAGAGCCACAGACATGTAGCTTTCTTGGTTTTCCTTTTCTTCTGTCTCTTTTCAAGCCATGCTTGCCCTAACATGTTGGGCTTTCTAACACTCTGAACGTCACTCCCCATCATGTGGCTGTCTGCTGCCACATGGCTGGCCTCCATGATGGTTTAACTCAAGCAATGTGGCTTTTTTCTTTTCTATTCTCTTATCCATTCTCCTCTGCATAGCCACTAAGATTTACAGTTTACCTACCCTGATGTTTTTCTTTGGAACTCTAATAAAATTATCCTAGAACTTAAAATAGAAAAAAAAAAAAAAACAGAGAAAGAGGAAGCTTCATAATGTTTGCAGAAGTGGCATGCCTTCTTAAGAATGTGAGGTACTCATGAGCCCATCCCTAAGCCTCTGCCTAGTTTTTACATGGTAAGCATCGAGGAGGTTATGAGGTGGCCCTAGAGCGAGGACTGAAAATTAAAACACAGTCTTCAAGTACAGCTCTCCAAAAGCATTCAAGATGGTTCTTGCATTCTATATCAATTAAAAGTAAGAATCTATGCAATTGTTGTGCGTATTCAGAAGAACAGCATCACAAATGCAGGGAGACTGTGGGAATATCTGCCATTGGGGACGGGTGGTCTAGGTGTGTAGGGGAAGGTGGCTCTCTAGAAGCTGTACCTCAGACACTAGGGAACTCTCAAAGGGAAACAGGTGAGGACCCAACACAGCTGTCCTGCTAGAGGTCCTCTGACTGTGGTGACCATGACTCCCAGTGCAGACATGAAAATACACTACTGGACATTCTGGGTAAGAAAAAGAAAAAGCGAGAGAGAGAGAGAGCTCAGTAGACAGAGCTCAGTACAAACCAGATTTGCTGGGCTGTGGAGGGGCACATCTCTGCCAGGGAGAGGAACAGGACACAAAATAAATATGTGCCATGGGTAGAGGCTTGAGCTTCTCATCTCTAGAGGTGAAGGTATGAGAACCAGGAAGCAAGACAAGGCCCACAGAATGAGCCTGGGGTTTATTTCATTTTGGTGGAAACAGTTATCTTTGGTCCATAACTATGGTTATGTATTGTGTACTTTTAATTAATTCTAGCTGAGAAAGCATTCATATAACATGAAATTCACCATTTTAACCACTTTTTGTTATTTCCAGCAGCTTTTAATCTATTCACAACCTTGTATACCCATGTTGAATGCTAAGGGAATCCAAAACCAAGCCAGAAAAGGAAAGTGTGCTCTATCTCATAGTCATCCCTGCACTGACAGCAATGTAGATAATGTTGGCTCCCAAAGGCAGAGAAGCCGCTTCTGAGCTCCAGGCTGGGGCCTGTCTATGAGCAATGGGAATGGCAGGAAAACACAGAGTCAGAAGAACTGGTGGACAGTGGTAGAGGAGGAAAGGGAAGGGGAGGGGATAGGGTAGGAGAGAAGGGAAGGAGATAGGAGGGGAAGGGAGGGGAGAAACTGGTGGACAGTACTAGAGGAGGAAAGGGAAGGGGAAAGGAGGAGAGGGGAGGGGAGAAGAGGAGGGGAAAGGGAAGAAAAGGGGAGGAGAGGAGGGAGAGGAGAGGAGAAGAGAAGAGAAGAGAAGAGAAGAGAAGAGAAGAGAAGAGAAGAGAAGAGAAGAGAAG